TTGACAGTCACAGTATGGCTCATGTGAAATGTTGCATTCGTAATGTAAAAATAGGATATGTGAAAGGGTGGGAACATTGAGGACAGAAGGACCCGGCCTGCTTACGGAGGCCCAGGGGTCACCTGATGACCTTCACAGAATCTCTGCCATCACACTGCCATCACCTATGTGTGAAAGGCTAAGTAACAATTGCGTTCGGTTTGCATGCACAAGAACACTTTGCAGGTCACACAGCGCACTCGGGTTCTTCCAGTGCAGCCTGGTTGTCTGCAGCGCATGGCATTCTTCAGGCCCATCATCTCTGGGAGGTGGGCATTAGCCCTCCTGCGGACCGAGAAATGGGGCACCTCTGTCACATGACGTTTTACCCCTTGTTGTGCATCTTCTTCCTCTGATTGTTCCGATAGGTCAGCATCTGCACCGTGATGCTGGGCCAAGAGGATCTTTGCCACTTCCATACGGAACTCAAGGAACTGGATGGGTTTTGTCTTTGGTCCAGCACATATTGCATGGTCTTTAAGGTAGAGTAGCCAGCTGTTGGCTAAAGCCAGATCCGTGAAGTGCATGACCATCCGCATTGTCCACTTCTTAGTACGGGTGCTCATGCGATAGTAACTGATCATTCTATCGATCAAGTCAACTCCACCCATCTTGGTATTGTACTCACGGACAATGCTTGGTCGCGAAACAGTGACATATTGTTTCAACCTCTTGTCCCAGCGCTGGCAGGTGTCCTAAGGCTGTGTACCATGAACAACAGACATCAGCAATACTGGCTTGTTGTCATACCACTTCACTACACACAGTTTTCCATCTTCAGCGGACACTTCTGATGAGGTACCTCTTCCTGCGCTTTTCATGGTTTTGTCACTGGGTAACTTGTCGTTCGCTCCAGCGAGTCGGTTCTTCATTATTGTACCAGTTATGTACAGCTCCTTCTCCATCATTTGTTGCGCACCTTTGATGGTGGTGAAGAACCGGTCACAATACACTTTTGTGCCGCGTTTCAGGGTTTGACAAAGACGCTCGATGACTAAGCTTCCCAAGCCCAGGCCCTCGGGTTCTTTGACCTTCTCGATCAGTGATTGTGTACCTTGATAGAGCTCAAAGTCAAGCACAATGCCATCTGCTGTAGCACACACAAAGTTCTTAATGCCAACTGGGTTGGGCTTCATTGGCAGATATTGTCTGTACGGACAGGCTCCCGTGAAGGGTATCATTTGCTCATCAATAGATGTGCAATCAGGTCGATTCAGAGACTTGCAGCCTCGCAGAATCCGCTCCAGAAAAGGCCCCACCTTCCAGAATTTGTCAGACATCTTCAGATCTTCAGGCACATCATCATCAATTACCACTTTTATTGCTCCCCTCAGTTTGAAGAATCTGGCACGCGTGAATCTGTCAGTGATGGCAGTGATTTTAAAGGCTTTGGACCAATACATCCTAATGGTTGGGTATCGGATGCAGGACATTAAAATACAGGCACCAAAAAAGTGGTAGACCTCATCCACTGACATGTTGAGTGGGTCCCCACTCCTAGACAGTGACATGGCATTAGAACATTCTGAAATCAGTGTCATCAGATCTCTATCGATGTACTGGTCAAAATACTCTAGTGGGGTCCAGCCATGTCTGTCCAGATCGCTTTCGTCCTGATGCTGATACTCCGCAAGGTTTGGCGTCAATGGAGTAGCCTTCCAGCGTATTCCACGTCCTGCACAACCAGAATCAGAATAAAATAGTATTTAGTATGTATAGTATTTATTGCAGTAAGTTACATTTTATCTATGTAAGCAAAAAAACTTGAATCTGTGTGGACGTTTACATGAAATTTGAAGATTTACCCTCAAGGCATGCTAAAATAATAACAATTACCTTGTTTGGACTCTCCCTTTTTATTTTTTTTGGTTTGGCTTGGTCCTGGTGTTGGCTCCTCAGAGTCATCTTCTGCACGATCAGTCTCAATCGGTACAGTTCGACATCGACGTCGTGTGGGATGAACCTGTCCCTGTACTCTCTGTCCCTGTCAATGTAAATAAGCATTCTGCCTCCAATCCTTCACGTAGCCCTGAGGCCCTAACTACATAACATAAACACAAATCTACTGGGTCTTGACTAACCATTATCTGCACCACGGCGACGTTTATGTGCTCTGCTGTGCTCTGTGGGCTCAGGAATGGGGTCCTCATTGTCACTACTGTCACCCTCATCCTCACTGCTGCTTTCCTCCTGTGGTGATGGTTGGTAATTTGTATCCAGGATGGGATCATCATTGTCAGATAGGTCTAAATCTGAGTTGTCTTCATCAAGCAAGCCAAGTAGCTGCATAGCTTGGTGTACAGAAAAACGCTCTGGAAATAAAAACAATGGATTTCAATGGTACTGTACAACGTTTTAATCCAACTAATTTATGTATGTATATATGTATTTAGTGATTGAATTGTTATGTATTACATTTAGACAATGTACAGCCTTTAAGCTGCACCAGATATACTTGTTTTCTCATTTTACATGTGTGCATGTTTACTAGTATATTAGCTGTTTCGACGAGCTTCAGTCCATAAGTACACAAACATGTACTTCATGTTTAGCGACATGTTACGTTCTTATTTTTACACTTTTTTTTCCAAATTTGCTTGTCATGACAAATATCCAACGCTTATATAAATATCTAAATAAGAATAAGCCATGAAATAAGGCAGGACTTCTTACCTGATCGATGTTTGTGTCTGGAGTGGCCACTTGAATCATCCCTCGTATTTGCCGCCATCTTGAATTTTTACCATTGTATGTTATACTCTTCTGACACCACCAGATGGCAGTATAAGTGTCCACATATGTGGCTATAAGACCCCAATTCAGCAGTTAACACCATTGTGGACACAAGAGCTAAAAAAGTGCTGTCCACGCATGTGACCACTAAGCCTTAAGAGGTTGAGGGACCTGCACAGTACATCATGGTATCATCCGCATAAAAATGTAAAGTAGCTTCATTCACATTTTCACCTAAACTGTTGATATATATGGAGAATAAAAGTGGACCTAAAACAGAACCTTGAGGAACACCATTAGCAATGTTTAACCACTCAGGACATGCCAATACTGAGTAGCCTCTGCTTTAAGATGTGATGATCGACGGTATCAAACGCTTTGGAAAGGTCAATAAATAGAGCTGCACAACTCTGCTTATTATCTAAAATACTCGTAATGTCATTCACCACTTTCATTGTCGCAGTGATGGTGCTATGTTGCTTTCTGAAGCCTTACTGATGTTTAGACAGGATATTATTTTTACATAAAAACTCCTTTACTTGTTCACTCACTCGGCGTTTGAGCACCTTCGCCAGAACTGACAATTTAGATATTGGCATATAGTTATTTAAAATAGTTGACAGCAACATGACAGCTCAGGTCAGAAGAGTTTTATTTAATAGCTGGTCTTATGTCTGTGTGCATGTCTGTATGGCAGTAGCCATCGATCATCTTAAGATAAGATAAGATATACTTTATTGATCCCAAGTTGGGAAATGTAAAACATGCAATTTATTGTTACTTTGTAATTCTACTCAAAGTTCAAGGCTTTTATTGGTTATGTGTACATAGCTACAGTGTGGTTATGACAATGACAATCTTAGGTCACACGCTCCTCCAACAGTGCAATACAATAAAACTCAACAGAAAAAATAGTGCAAGTAAATACAAAAAGAAAAATAGTGAAATAGTGCAATAAGAGTGATTGGAATATGATATATTTGATTAGATTAGATTTAATCTAAAAATTAGGTAATTTGTAAATTGCTGCCAGATTAATGTTATGGATGTTGTTTCAAAGTGCAGGTGTTTAATATAGTCAATGGCCTGTGGGATGAAACTGTCCCTGAGTCTGGTGGTTTTAGTCCTGATGCTGCGGTACCGCCTGCCAGACAGAACAGTTTGAGGCTGGGGTGATGGGGGTCTTTTGTAATCCTGAGGGCTTTCTTTAAGGTTAACCTGGTATTTTTACTCCACTACATTTATTTTTGTTACTTTACAAATTTGGATTAATGATGTGAAATATAAACAACCATTAAATCAGACTTTAAATTCAGGGAAGGTGATTGTCAAGTGCCAACAATCAGGCGAGATATTTGATAGTGGGTGCTGGAGAAGACTGAACATTTATCTGCAGATCCCTATAAAGCATATTCATTACTCGTTATTCTCTAATCGTTCATTAAAAACTGTATATAATGGCTATTTTGCACATCCCTTTCAAGATTTCAAGATTTTCAAAGGTTTATTGACATATACACAACTACGGTGTAGTTATGCAATGACCTCAACAAGACATCTATCAATATGTGTGCACCTCCACCATTAAACTGTCATATTCTGCACATTTCTTATTCTATCTACATACATCTTACAAGAGTATAATAAATATGTATAATATTGGTTAAAATAAGTGCTTCAACATAGTTAACATTGCAGGAAAGTTGATTGTCAAGTCCCAAAACAAACCGTGCAATATATTAAACGTTAAGTACTTTGTCAGGCTTAATATTTATCAGATACCCCCAAAGCTTTTTGCTTACATGTATTTAAAAGAAGACCTTAACCTAAAGTATTATTTAATGTTTTAATAAAGCCTAATTAGTTTGTCTGTTTTGCACATCCTCCTATTAATATCTTTGTACATCCGGCACTAATGTGTTTTTATTCTAGATATCATTTACAGTATCTTCTTGGTATTTTCTATTCTATATTTCTATCATTGACCTTCTACTTTCCTCCTATTTTGTATGTACTCCTAATATTTAAATGTTTTCATAAAATATAATACAATGAAAAGTGATTTACAAAAATGAAAAGACATTAAGAAAAAGGCATTTTAAACAGTCATTAAAAAGCAACAAAATCTACCTGCATTGCAATTACTCTAAACGTGTAATAACGTGCTTTAACCAGTAGGTGGTTTGGGTTAAAAAGCTGTCAAGTTTACAGTGTTAACAAAATAAAGTTGCTGTTTCCGGTTTAGTTTACGACGGATATATTTAGTTATTGTTTTGATATTTGTAACACAAAAGCGATGGAAAAACCCCACAGCAACACAGAAAAGATGGTCTTAACATGACCCAGCGGTCTAGTAGTTAATAAAAAACAATAATATCAAAACAAAATATTACTACTTTATTGTGAAATTCAAACTGAACGGTAAAAGAATAGTTTCCGGTCTATTCTGAGCCCGATCTCTGTAGATACATAAAAATAAAGAACTACGACAGATGTGTAATATATTTAATGCCGCCGAACCATTTATTACAATGCATTCATGTGATGACTTTCAAAGAGTAAAGAAAGCACTGCTGAATAAAGTATGATTTTATCTTTTACGAAACGTTTTTTTTCATGTGGAATGCAGTTGCAGGTCAACCAATCACAGAGCTTGGGAACTAATCACGGGGTTTGTAAAACAGAGCACATGGTGTAGTCCTAAACGATAGCTGGGGAT